GAGAGAGAGAGAGAGAGAGAGAGAGAGAGAGAGAGAGAGAGAGAGAGGAGATTCCACCTCACAAGAATCCAAGCTAGGAAGGGTCAAAATTGAGAGAATCCAACTTTTTGGGGTCAAGAATCCAAGGAAAGGTGCCAACACTACCATTTCTGTCCTGTGAAGGTGGCATCAACCTCACCTTGCAGGTTGCACTAAATTAGAACACAGAATAACAGAGTTGAAAGGGAGTTTGAAGGTCATCTAATCCAACTCTTTGTCTATACTATTTCAGATAAATAGCTGCCCAGTCTCTTCTTGAAAGCCTCCAGTGATGGGGCATCCTCAACTTCTGAAGGTAAGGCATTCCTCTAATTGGTTGTTCTCATCATTAGGAAATTTCTCATTAGTTCTAGGTTGATTCTCTCCTAGAATTAGAATAGAATAGAATAGAAAAGCTGGAAGGGACCTTTGAGGTCTTCTAGTCCTGCCCCCTACTCAAGCAGGAGAACCTATATTCAGGGGTGAGATTCTACAGGTTCGCACCTATTTGCTAGAACCAGTTGTTAACATTCTCAGCAGTTCGGAGAACCGGTTGTTAGAAGAAATTATGGGCCTAATCCTGTAAGGAAGGCAGGAAGGAAACATTCTGGTGTTGCTTACAGAAATTGCCTCTCCGTTAACCCTTATTACATTCTTGGCAGGACTAGACTTCCTGTCTCAGGAACTTCTCTGGAGTTTTTTCCCCCTCCTTTGCTGGTACTTTGCTTGTGTGGAGGGACCATTCAAAGTTACAATGGCACTGAAAAAAGTGACTTATGACCATTTTTCACACTTATGACTGTTGCAGCATCTCCAAAGTCATGAGGCCAGGCGAGGAGATGCGTGCCTCGATGTGAGTGATTTTGAGTTGGCCACGCCCACCCAGTCACATGACCACCAAGTCATGCCCACCCAGTCACATGACCACCAAGTCATGCCCACCACCTAAGCCACGCCCACCACCTAAGCCACACCCACAGAACTGGTTGTTAAAAAATTTGAATCCCATCCCTGCCGATACTAAGTGACTATCTAGAATCTAGACTCTTCTTAAAAACCTCCAGTGATGGAGCACCCACAATTTCTGAAGGGAGGATGTTCCACAGGTTAATTGTCCTCACTGTTAGGGAGTTTCTCCTTAATTCCAGGTTGCTTCTCTCCTTGATTAGTTTCCATCCATTGTTTCTTATCCTGCCCTCTGGTGCGTTGGAGAATAGCTTGACTCTCTCTTCTTTGGGGCAGCCCCTCAAATATTGGAATGCTACTATCATGTCATTCCTAATTCTTCTTTTCTCAAGAGTAGCCAGACCCAAATCCTGCAGCCGTTCTTCTCCGGGCCTTTGATCATCTTAGTTGCTCTTCTTTGCACTATTTCCAAAATCTCAACATCTTTTTTGTAGTACTGGTTGCAGTATTCCATCCATTCTCTCATCTTGTTTTTCGATGCTTTGATAAATAATTTTCCCCTTATCATCTTTGTGGTGGCCCCTCAAATATTGGAACACTACTATCCTATCCCTCCCCAGAGTTCTTTTCACTAGATATACCCAATTCTTGCAATCCTTCTTCATATGTCTTAGTTTCCAGCCCCTTAATCATCCTTTATTGCTCTTTTCTGCACTTTTTCCAGAAGTCTCAACATAAATTATGGAGCAGCTTATTTGATTCTGAAATTAAAGGTTGCATGAACATGGTCAGGAGTCTTTATCAAAATGGTTCACGGGTAGTGAAGTAGGACTCCAATCCACCGGGGCTTCTTCCACACCTAGGATTAGCAAAACACAGCTTAGTGTGTGACATGCAAAGCAACCTATTTCTCCACTTACGCTCTGGATGGTGGACAGATGTCCGTCTACTTAATTTCTTCTCCATTGTGTGTTGAAAATCCAAACCTTCAACCTTCAACCAAGAAGGTGCTTTTTCAGGAGGCAACTGGACTTTTTTCTTTTGAAGACGTTTCACTTCTCATCCAAGAAGCTTCCTCAGCTCTGACTGGATGGTAGGGAATGGGAGGATTTTACACTCCTTGCAGACGGCTGGTCATTTGCATCCTTTTGGAAGGTCGTTGAGGCACTTGGAGGTTTATCTGTGTCCTGTTTCCAAAAATTGAAGACTACAGGAACCAGGAGCACCACTCAGGTGCAGATAAACCTCCAAGTGGCCTCAAGGACCCTCTAAAAGGATGCAAATGACCAGCTGTCTGCAAAGAAGCATAAATCCTTCCATTCCCCACCATCCAGTCAGAGCTGAAGAACCTTCTTGGATGAGAAGCGAAACGTCTTCTCAAAGAAAAAACAAGAAAGTCCAGTTGCCTCTTGAAAAAGAACCATTGGGACAACCACAACTTGGATGACTGAGAATCTCTGCAGACTTCAACCGAGATGCGTTTCTTTTCAAAAAGTCACAATTTCCAGAAAATCTCCCGTCTCCGCAACTGGACTTCCCATTCTCTCTTTTGTTTTTCTCCTTGGGAAAAACCCCACAGCACCTTTCTTTGCAAATAACACAACATCACAGGATTACATCCCTGCCTTCAAGAACACGAAACCAACTTTTTTGTGCAATTTGCTGGTTCAGGTTTTTATAATCTCCTGGAGCTGGTTGAAGTTGGAGTTTAATTTTTCCCAATGACAAAATGACGTTCCTCAACGGCCTTGAAGGCTTTTGATGCAAAAAGCAAAGTTTTGTTTTTTTTCTCGGAGCAATGCAACCCCCAGCATTGAAGTGAATTCACTGGGCGGAGCACTTGTTACAAAAATCACTTCGGTTTCTAAACTTCTGGCTTCGTTTCTGACAATTTAATAATCTCTGCTGCCCTCATCTGGCAACGCACGAGTTTTTCCCCCCTCTTTTGAAATCATAATTAGGCTATGCAGGTTGACTTTGACTTATAACCACAAGTGAGCCCAACATAATTTATGTTGCTAATTAAGATGTTTTTCCGACAAGCCAAAGTCAATGGAAGAAGGCAGATTCATCTAGTCCACTTAACAACAACAGCAGAAACATATTGTAAAATGGGACAAAACTCACACAGCAAGGGCCTTGCTTCACAACGGGCCTTTCGGACCCAGCTGTGGTTGTAAGCCAAAGACTAACTGTAATCACACCCTACAATTTTCCCCCCATTCCCTGGGGACTAAATTCTCAGACGTTCTTCCACCTTGACCAGCAATTCATCTATAGGTTGGGGTGTTTTTTTTTTCCTTTTTCCATTTTTTTTTTTTTTGCAAGGAGATGAAAGGGTGTGTGTGGAATCTATTTCAAATCCCTCCCAAGCCAAAGAGAGCAAATAACCCCCATGGGAATGGGATAGGCCTAGGTGGCAGGTCCAAAACTTTTATTCGTAGTGTTGTATGCTGGAGGAACAGCACACAATATGATCTGTGGTTTGTGTGCTGGGGAAAAGAGGAGACCGTGGGGAGTGAGAAACCTGGCGGTGAAAGCAAGTTAAATTATAAAAATAAAACTAAAAATAAAAAGGGAACCATTAAACCCATCTCCAGCCAACCGAAGGAAACCAGAACAACAATAAGAATCGTGGTGATAATTAAAAAAAAATGCTCTTTTGATTCTCATGGAGAATTTGAAACTTAATTCCACATCGCATTGCTAGGAATGTTAGATGTCGGTTCCTGAACGCCACTGCGACGGGGAGGCCAACCCAGTGTCCGTCTGCACCCCGGAAAGTGCTGCAATCCAAAGCGACTCCATCGGTCATAGAGGTCCGTGCACCAACACCGCTGTCCAAAGAGGGACCAAGACCAGGCCGCCGCAGAGTCTGAGGGAGGGGCAGGCTCGGAGGTCGGAGGAAGACGAGGTACAGGAGCAGACTTCGCTTTCTGAGCGGCTTTCATCATGGTACCCCTGCTTGGAACGCCCTCCGGTCCTGGAGCGCTCGGCTGGTTCTGGTGCATCGGCTTGCATGTCGCTGCACACCAGCCAGTCTTTCGCAATGGAGCGGGGATAGCCTGACTCGGCCTCCAGGTTGCTGTCCGAAACTTTCCAATACTCCTTGCCCTTGAAAAAGTAGGTGGCCCCTGGAAGAAGAGAGAAAGAAAGGAAAGAAAGAAAGAAAGAAAGAAAGAAAGAAAGAAAGAAAGAAAGAAAGAAAGAAAGAAAGAAAGAAAGAAAGAAAGTGTCAACGTCCCAGAAAACCTCAACTCCGTGCAGGTTTCCAAGTGATGAAATCTATTCAAAAGGAAAACAGCAAAGTCCATCTTCCATAATAATTTCTTTTGTTTAGAATAACATCAAATTGGCAAAGTTTATTGTAATTCCGGATCTGACACAACCCGGAATTACACCACATAATATTGGAAGTTAGGAACAGCCCCCAAAAGTCATATTCTCCAATAAAAGTAAATCAATGTTGTCTGGTGTCATCAATCTCCACCTCCAGGTCTCAGCAGGGTCAGCTTTCGTTCCCACGGGAAGAAACACCTCCTAGCCTAAACAACTCTCTCTATCTCCACTCCTTCCACCTTAGGAATGTGGCAAGCCAGAAACCCTTCCCCCCATAACCAGCAAAGAAAAAGAAAGGAAAAGGAATATATATTCCTTTAGCCTAATAAGGCTAAATAAAATGGCTACGCATATACCAATTTCGGGCTTGACACTCCAACCAATAACTCTGAGACAGGCATCATCTCCAAGGTTCTTTTTATTAGAGTAGTAAACTGGCACATCGGGGAAATCCCGAATCTGAAAGTTCTGGGTTTCCTTCCAATAAGTAAAAAACTACAAATCCACCCCCTGCACCCATCATTGCATCACATGCCCCAATCTCCATCCATCCCAACTTGAGAGGCCCTCTCAACCAGGTGCAGAAATAACATGTCCTTGACTTAGAAAAAGAATGCTACTGTGTCTAACCACATACACTCCAAGAAATTCCCCCCTCCCAGTTTCCCAGGCTCAAGAATGTGGCAGCATGGAAGCATCTGGTGCTAATATGGCTTCCAAAGCTGACAAAAAGTTTGTGTCCGGACACAGAATGGGACAACTCGCCACAACCAACTCATCATGGTCAACTCGCCATAGCCAACTCACCTCAAGACAACTCGCCACAGCCAGTTCGCCATGAGACAACTCGCTGCAGGAGAATTTAACAGTTCCATTGAGCTATTTAAATAAAAAAATATTTTAATTTTTGTCATTCACACTGTATTCTGTCCCTCCTTTGGCATCCTTTCTTTAATTATTCTATTCCACAATTTCTTTGATATCAGTGTAACTCTTGTCCCGCAGTGAGTTGGCCATGGCGAGTTGGCTGTGACAAGTTGGCTCTGGTGAATTGTCATAGATCCTCCAGACACATAAATAATATGTACATATTGTGCACAGGAGATAATATCAGGACCTAGATGAGCATAGATTAACTCCAAGATTACTATCAGAGCAACAATCAAGAAGTAAACAAGACCCTGATCAAGGAACTAGCAGTAAGCAGCCCAGCCAAAGAATCTCTAAAACCACCCCCAACAACGTTGACAGGGCAAAACATTAGAATATAAATCAAGAGCAAACCCCATTTCCTTTGAGCACTGATGATGTTACCTAGTTGGGTAATGAAACATCTGCAAGAAAACAACCAAGCTCAGAGAGCAACAAGGACCCAAAGTCCTCCTCTCTTTGCAAACCACACTCCTTTCTAGCACTGATGATGTTTCCTAGTTGGGTAATGAAACATCTGCAAGAAAACAACACCAGGGACTCCTCAGAGAGAGAGAGAGAGAGAATTGCATCTTGGCATTGAAGGCTTAAAGGAGAGTTATGATGTGGCAGAGATATATTTATTTTATTGCTTAAGAGTTTTTTTCTGGCCACCCAATTTGCTCCCTCTGAGTCTGGGCAGCTTACAGAAATAAATGTGGTGGAATGTAGTCTGGAGTCCCAGGGGAGGGGTTCTTTCCCAGAGGGCTGAGAAGCAGCAGAGCTTGGAATATCTGGAGGGCAGGAGGAGAGCAAAGTCAAACCCTCCATAGTAGTATATATATAGTTATTGCAGATAGTTGCTTTAGTTTGGCAAGATTCTGTCTGCAGGTAAACAACAATGAAGCTTAAACGGCTGTGTGATCACTTAACAACTATAGTGATTTGTTTAACAACAGTGACAAAAAGATCTTAAATTTGGCACGACTCACTTAACAACTTCCTTGCTTAGCAATGGAAATTCTGATCCCAACTGCGGACATAAGTCAAGGACCATCTATATGTATATTGGTGTACTGGCCTAACTGGGAGATATTCCAAGTGTTCTCCTTACTTCCAGCAAAGCTGGTCTCAAAAGAAGCTCTCTGAACATCCAAACTCACCATCTGACCAGTGCGTGGCATCATCCAGCTGGCTGGGAACGCCTTTCCACAGCGTGCTTTCTAAAGGATAACCTGCATCCATTCTCTGCTGGTGGTCATCATAGCACCAGTAGAGATTGTCTTTGAAGAAATAGGTCCTGTCATTCTGAGCCCAGGAAAAGGCTGCATCGATGCCTCCTAGGGGCAGGCCAAAATCCGAGATGGGCCGAGGGTAACCTTCTTCAACGTTATTGTCTTTGAACACCCAATAGCGGTCTCCTGGGGAGAAGAAAGAGGCAGGTAAGCAACCACTTCTCCATCCTTTCAGCCAACCTGGCCCAGAATGGCCTAAGTCTAGGACGGTGGGGGCAACTTGGTGCATGGCACAAAAGCAACACAACCAGAGAACAGGACTAACTCCCCTTTTATCGCTCCAACTGTGCCCCCAAATGTCCCCATGTTTACTATAAGTTCTGGAGCAAAGCTCTCACATGCACCTTCAACAGCCTCTGGCTGCGAGTAGTCCAGTAAGCAAGATTAGCTACACAGTAACCAGGACCATCAGTCCAATGAGCCAGGTTAACCAAAGAGTAACCAAGGCAAGAAGTCCAGTTAGCAAGGTTAGCCAAACAGTAACCAGAGCAAGAAGTTCCGTGAAGTAGGCAAACCGGACAAGCCCACAAGACAGGACACACGTTGGCAAGTGCGCACGAGGCTCCACAGATTCAATGCTTGTTCCTGACAAATAACCTCTCACACTGCTACCTCTTTAGATCTCCGTCCCCAGCCGTGCCTTGTGAAGAGGTTGGTGGAGCGCTCTCCTCCCAAGTAGCTGGCTCAGTCTGCGTTGTTCTCACCTCCTCTCTTCCCTCCTTGCTCTAGGATCGGGAAAAGCCTTGCCTGGACTGACTCTGCCCTTCCCCAATTTCCTCCAAGGCTTACGGAGCCACCCCCTCGATCTCTGTTCCCTCTTGTTCCAGCTCATCTTCCCCCGTAGATCTAGACCCCCAAGGGGACAGGTGACAGATGGCACCAACTCACATGGCATTAAGAAAATGAAAACTACCTCCAATAGGAATCTCCAGTAAGGAACGAAACACATTTTTCAACACAGTGGGGAAACCAAACATTTTGGGAAAGGAGAGTCACAAATGAAAAGCATGGGAAATGTTTCTTTCTACCTTTGAAGAAGACTATCTTGTGGTCATGGGTCCTCTCATACACCGCATCCACACTGTCCAAGTTGAGAGGCAGTCCCTTCCAGAAACGATGGATCTGAGCTGGCTGAAGGCTCACCAGATGCTTGTTGCGAGTCAGTCGCCAAAAATACTTGCCTAGACGGAGAAAATCCAGTTAGGAACAACAACTTATTCCCAAAACGACCAAAAGTGAGGATTAACACGCTACCAGATTTTCTCTCCTCTCCAGAAGTGAGTTGACCAGGGTTGTCCAACCTGGGAAACTTTTAAGATCAGTGGACTCCCAGAATTCCCCAACCAATTACAATGGCTATGGAGGGCTGGGGAATTCTGGGAATTGAAGCCCCACCTATCCTAAAGTTGCCAAGGTTGAGAAATATTGGCTTAAAACTTTGGTTAAACTAACCCAACTGAGCTCCAGCAACCGTAGGGTCTTATCTAGAGAAAGCAGACCTTAGGGAATTCTGGGAGTTGGAGTCCATCCATCTTAAGGTTGCTAAAGTGCTTTATAAAGCCTTGGTAAGACCACACTTGGAATACTGCATCCAGTTTTGGTCACCACATGACAAAAAAGACGTTGAGACTTTGGAAAAAAATACAACGAAGAGCAAGTAAGACGATTAAAGTCCTGGAGACTAAAACACATGAAGAACGGTTGCAGGATTTGGGTCTGGCTAATCTAGAGAAAAGAAGGACTAGCGGGGACATGATAATAGCATTCCAGTATTTGAAGGGCTGCCACAAAGAGGAGGGGATCAATTTATTCCCCCAAAGCATTAAAAGGCAAGAGAAGAAGCAACGGATGGAAACCCATCAAAGAGAGAATCAACTTGGAATTAAGGAGAAACTTCCTAAGAGTGAGGACAATTAACCAGTGGAACAGCTTCCCTTCAGACGTTCTGGGTGCTCCATTACTGGAGGTTTTTAAGAAGAGACTGGACAGTCACTGGTCTGAAATGGGGTAGGGTCTCCTGCTGGAGCAAAGGGCTGGACTAGAAAACCTCCAAAGTCCCTTTCAGCTCTATTCTGATTCTGGACAAAACCAAAAAAGCTAGCGAGAAAGGATTAAATCTGTGCTGTAGAGATTTCCGTAGGTCAGTGGAGGACATGTATGGATCTTTGAAGAATTTTTGGTATCTCAAAGGCAGGGCCTGCTAGCCCAAATTTCATCATAGCAAAAATACATGCATAGTTGTGGAAGCTTCATCACAGGAGGCTTTCAAGGGAAGACTGGACTGCCATTTGTTGGGGATGGTATAGGCCAGGGGTTGGCAAACCACAGCTCTGGAGCCGCATGTGGCTCTTTCATCCCTTTGCTGCAGCTCCCTGTTGCCGATCGGCTCCACCATTGATAGGGCTTTGGGTTAGGACAGATAGAGGAAAAAGGATGCCGCACTAGGAGGAGACTCTATGGTGGGGGAACCGCCATAGAGTCTGGACAGCTCCAGAATGGAAAGGGGGGGGGCAGAAGGGCTTCCAGTTAGGACCTTTGTGGCTCTTTGAGCGTTGAAGTTTGCCAACCCCTGGTGTACTGTAGGGTCTCGTGCTTGGGCGGGGGGTTGGACTAGATCAGGGGTCACCAACCTTTTGGACCTCAGGGACCACCAAACTCATAATTTTAAATCCCGCGGACCACTAATAGGAATCCAGCATGCCACTTGCTGAAGTGCCTGGACTCCCACTGATGGGATGGGGTCCTTCAGGCATTTAGCTTGGCTGCCTATTTCTGCAACCTTAAATACTCAGTCATTTGGACCCATTTCCCACAGAAAACAAAACACTGGGAGCTCTCATCTCTCTTTCTCTCCCCTCTCTTTCTCCCTTTCTCCCTCTTTCTCTTTCTCTCTCTCTTTCTTTCCCTCCCCCTCTTTCTCCCTTTCTCCCTCTTTCTTTCTCTTTCCCTCCCTCTCTTTCTCCCCCTTTCTCTCTCTCTCCCTCTTTCTGCCTTTCTCCCTCTTTCTTTCTCTTTCTCTTTCCCTCCCTCTCTTTCTCCCCCTTTCTCTTTCTCTCTCTCTTTCTGCCTTTCTCCCTCTTTCTCTAGTCACTAGATGACTTACAAAGGTCCCTTCCAACCAACTCTGTTTATCTATCTATCTATCTATCTATAACATTTTGCAAGTCAAGGTAGCCTTCCCCCCGCCTTTCAAATACATATTCAGGAGATAATTGGCCTTCTCCAGCTTTAGCAGCTGGTGACATTGTATTTACACTCTTGAGAAACATTAAACCCAGGTTTAAAAAAACAGAAGAGAACAGAGCAGAACTTCTAACCCAAAACATCTGCAGAATAGCTCAGTTTTAAAAAGGGGGAGAAAAAAGCCCCCCACCATTCTACAAATTCATATCGCTTTGCACTTCTTTCATCCTTCGCTTTTATTTGACATTGATCGATGCGGAAAGAACATCCCATCCTGAGGAAGTGGGGAATTATAAATCCTTTTATAGATGGCTAAAAGGGGAATCGGAGGGAAGATGGGAAGATTGAAGAAGCCAGGGATCCAACGGGGTCCCTTTGCATCTTTATGAGAACTTTTTAGGCGATTAAATCAGCGTCGTCTTTGCATGGGAAATGAGGCTTTTACCACGCGGTGGGGCGTAAGGCTCACCGTTCCACTGGGGAGAAATGCCGTTGATTTAAGTGGCTTCTTCTCCTAAACGATATTTTAGAAGCTCAAAGTTCAAAGCGCTCCAGAAGCTAATTTGACAGGATGGAGGAACGGCCTGAGTGATGCCGAGATGGGAGGCGGCCCGGGCTTTGCATACCAAAAGCCTTACAGGATTTGTCCGTGTCAGCTCTTAAACTGAGATGAAAAATGCCTGCTTGATCCCCTTAAAAGGGTGAAAACGGGTCGAGATTAACCAGGGGAGGAATTCGGGGGAAAGAATGATGACAAGGTGGGAAACTGGACTTAGCAGAGGTTGACATTCCTCGTTTCTGGGGTGGGTCCCAGATACCCTCTGAGCTTGGTGGTTTTCTTGCAGAAGTTTCGTGACCCAACTAGGTAACAGCATCAGTGCTAGAAAGGAATGGGGTTCCAAGATTGGTGGTGGTGGTGGTGGTGGTGGTGGAGGAGGAGGAGGAGGAGGAGGAGGAGGAGGAGGAGGAGGAGGAGGAGGAGGAAAACTGTGGGGTCCTTGGTGCTCTCTAGAGCTTGGTGGTTTTCTTGCAGACATTTTGTGACCCAACTAGGTAACATCATCAGAGCTAGAAGGGAACGAGGTTTACTTGAGTATTGATGACACAACCTACTTTGGTCAGGAAATGCCTGCAAGGAAACCATCAAACTCAGGGAGTATCAAGGACTCCGCCTCCTCCCTCCCTCCCTCCCTCCCTCCCTCCCTCCCTTCCTTCCTTCCTTCCTTCCTTCCTTCTTTCCTTCCTTCCTTCCTTCCTTCCTTCCTTCTTCCTTCTTCCTTCTTCCTTCTTCCTTTCCTCTTCTTCTTCCTCATCCTCCATTCCACAAACTCCACTCCCTTCTAACACTGATGATGTTGCCTAGTTGGGTCATGAACATCTGCAAGAAAACAAGCAAGCTCAAGAGAGCACCAAGGATCACACAGTCCTCCTTCTCCTCTTCCTCCTCCTCCTCCTCTTCCTCCCAATCCCCACTCCCTTCTAGCACTGATGATGTCACCTAATTGGGTCATGAAACGTCTGCAAGAAAACCACCAAGCTCGGAAAGTACCAAGGACCCCACAGCTCAACCCCTTCTCACCTTCTCGCAAAAGGCAACCACATGACTCCAGGAAACTAGGAACGTCATAAATACAGTACATGTCAATTTGCTGAGCGTCTGGATTTTGATCCTGTGACCACGGGGGATGCTGTGATGGTCGTTAAGTCTGAAAAACGGTCCTCTACCCATTGTGTCACTGCCGTTGCAACTTCAAGCGGTCACTAAACGAAGGATTGTAAGCCGAACACTACCTGCATTTCCGGCCTCAGCTCACCTCTGAAAAAGAAAACCTCTCCACGGATTTGAGCCACAGCATCAAAATGGGTGCTGCATCTGTTTGGCACGTCTCTTCTAAACCTTGGCAAAAAAAGGGGAAGATTTAAAAATAAAAGTAAAATGAACAAAGCTAATCATCAACTCACTGTCCGGCCAAATCACTTGGCTCAAACTCAAAATGAAACTCTTTTAATCCTTGCCAATTTCAGCAGGAGAGATTCGGAAATGCACCGAGGAGAACAAAGGAAGAAGCGGTGGGGAGACCTATGCTTGCCTGCCTTAAAGATCTTCCCCCTTCATTTATTTTTAATTTAAAAATAACCCTTATTGAGATTAAAATATTAAAACACAAATATGTCTATAAAGAAAATAAGTTTGTACAATTTACCATCGTTCTTGGACACAAGTACACAAGTCTTTGCTATATTCATACATTTCAAATATTCATATATTTCAACAATTTCTAATGGATCCTTTACATATACAAATTTTATACTTCTAACCTATGTTTCATATTCCGACTATCTATCCATTGATACCCGTTATCCCAGATGGAATAATGTTCCGAGTCCTCCTTATTGCTTAATTCTGTAGTGAGTTTATTCATTTCTGCACACTTAAACATTTTACGAATTATTAAACAATCTGTCGGTATAGTGGCCATTTTCCAAGCTTCTGCTATTGCAATTCTTGCTGCCATGATAATATATATAATCAAGTATTTAATCTTTTGGGGGTATTTTCCCATTTATTTTTGTTTTCAAATTAACTTCTTGGGACAGACTCTTTTATCAACCAGGTTTGCAAAATCCAGGCAGCGTATAGGATGAGAATGACCTATTTTCCCGGTGTTAAAAAAAAAAAAAAGGAAAATTCTTCAGCTCAAATTTACACAATTTCATCCAAAGTTATCACAAAATTACATCTGCCGAGAGGAGAGAAATTGGGTGCAACTGAGCAGGCTTGGAAGCCGTAGCCTGCATGTCGCTTTTTGCAAAAAAAACCAAAATAAAATGACTTTGAAGAAGATAGCATTAACGTCTCTTCATCACTGGGGATTGTGAAAATGGGACACGAGAGATTGGCTGTTTGCAAGAAAGGTTATAATTGTTATTTCTTCTTCTTCTCCAGGATAAATGTCATCTTTGAAACAGACTGAGCCACGGAATTGCTAGCTCTCTTCGTGGCTCAGGGTGGAAGTTTAGTGTCAACTAAAAATTACTCCTTTGGTCTTTTAGTTGCTAGCAGAAAGGGAGTGGGTGAAAGCAGTGCATTCCTCAAATGTCTCAGATAATCGCCTTGGCAGCCCAAAGCTGTCGGCGGACAAGACTATTACTGGAGAGCGTGATTGATGACTCTTGGCTATGGATGTGTCCCATTGGAGAATATACAACCAGGGGGTGGGGGGAAGACCAGGGTCAAGGGGGAAATGAATGATGTATTTTAGTTTGCTGCACCCAGCTAACGCCGACATGGCCACTCCTAATAAATCAATTTTGTTTACTCTTGAGAGATGCGGTTAGAGACTTATGATTTGAATGGGGGTGGATTTGTTCGAGCCCTGACAGTTAGCTTCTTTGGATCTTCTCGGAAGGGTGACCACTTTCGCCTTCTGATCAGCCAAGCCCTCTCTTTTGTTATTGGCCAAGTCTTTCCCCCAAAATATGGGACGAAGGAGGCAAACTCCGTTTTGAGGAAGTGGTGGTGAAAAATCGCAAGGAACCTTGGGCTCCAAAGGGGATGTTCATCAAATATTGGGTACATGTTAGATCTCTCACAGAGAACCAGGTTCAAACAAAGACTGTGTTTGAAATGCGCGGTCATATCCTCATGGTCCCATTAGTGTTTAAAAGTGGGTTCCCGATCTTTCCAAAATGGGGATTTAGGACACCGTGACCTCATCTACCAATCTATCTTAGAAGCTTCCTCTCCAGAATTTGGTCTCCAATCCCATAAACTCCACTATTTTTGAGGGCATCTGATGGAGGATGGCTGCTATGCATCTTCGTTTTTGTAAAGGCCTTCCTCTCTCATAGAAGTCAAGAGTGGTGTGGTGGCCTAGAGGTGGAGCTCTTGCCTCACAACTGGGAGGCTGTGAGTTCGATCCTAGGTAGCGGCAGATATTTCTCTCTCTGGGCACACTGAGAATATATCTGCTGAAAAAAAAAACCCCTCTGCACTGGTGACAGGAAGGGCATCTGGCCAGTAAACACTCAGCTCCATTCAGTTGCCCCAACTCCACCCTGATGCAAGGAATTACGGGTCATTAGAAGACCAAAAAAAAAAAACCCACCACCAAAAATAATCTCTGATAGAAGTACTCAAATACTTTCTGAGAGAGGATATCTGGAGCTGGGATGGCAGAACATCTATTCTGTTCATGTGCAACCCAAATTCTCACCCGATCCTAATCCAATGGTCCTTTCAGTTTCTATTCCTTCCCAAAGAAATGGGGATGTACAATTTTAGCTTACGGGACAGTGGAGCGATTCTCGGGGAAATCTGGCAGGATGGGATGGTCATCTGCTTTCGATATTTCAGGTTTAGCTGTCGGAGACACGGATTCTCTGACTCCTGCAGAGGAAAAACAAGGATGGGTTAAAGCAAAGTGGACATCAAGCAGATCATACAAGCCAATGTTTCCAGAGATAGCATCTTCTAAGATCGTCTTTTAACCACCCCATCATCCCTTGCGGGGGTGGACTCTGAGCAACTTAATGGAGCGGAGTGTTTACTGGCCGGATGCCTTTCATGTTGCTGGTACGAAGTTATATTCAGCAGGTATATTCTCATGTGCCCAGAGAGAGAAATAACTGCCTCTACCTAGGATTGAACTCACAGCCCCCTGATTCACTTTGTGGAGTTTATCTATATGCCTTTGTACAGTACAGGACAGGCAGAATAAATACTGAACCAAAGAATGTGTTAAAGAGGTTGGCTTTAATGGTGTTGACATAGCAGTCTTTACCATTAGGTCCTTTCAGGGGTGGGATGGATCTTGAGTCTTTTAGTTTGTTGTTTACAAAGTTGTAGAAAGAGTGGGTGGAATTGGTGCGTAGAAGGTTTTCCTCTTGTTTAATGTGATAATTGGTGCATTCAGTCTTTATCTGGTGGCATAAATTTTTGTATCGGCTCAAGTTGGCAACGTGACCAGATTTGTTTTTCCGCCAAAGTGATCTTTTTTTATTTATTGAAGTTCCCTTATTGTTATGGGTAATCTGTTTTTTTCTGGTCTTGAGAGTTGTTATTGGTACATATAGTTAGATGACTCTTTTGACTTCAAATAAAAATATGTTGTAATGGTCTTCAACAGTATTGCATCCACTGAATAAAGATTGCCAATCAAGGGATGAGAAATCATTGTCTGTAAGAGCATAGTTGCCTTTTTTGAAGTTATAACTGGGGATCACGTTGTTGTGATGATTTTTGTGCAGACGTATGTTGATACAAAAGTCAATCATGTTGTGGTCGCTGTTGGAAATTTGTATTCCGTAAATTGAGTTCAAACTATTGCAGAAGATGAGATCGAGGCAGTTAAGTCCAGTAATGTTGGTTACTAGTTGTTCCAGTCCTAGATTTGTTACAGCATTGTAGAAGGTTGCATGTATGTGTTCAGTTGTACATTCATTTAGGGTCCAGTTAATATGAGGTAGATTGAAGTCACCAAGATAGATAAAAGTGTGTGGGCAGGATAATTGATTCAGTGTGGTTTGTGTTGTTTTTTTTTAATTTATAAGTATTTTGAGTTTGAACGGAAGTTCTTCCTTTTTGCAACTGTTTGTGGGGGAGTTTTTTTCTCCAGTCAATGATATTTGGACCTTTGAAGCCAAGTTGAAGGAATTTAAAGGGACTTCACCTGTTTCTGTGACTTTGTTGCTTTTGTATCCCACCCGGGGTCATCACAGTGACAATGAATGATGTGTCTCAAAGTCGGCTCCACCCAGGCAGTGCCGGACATGTTAACTCCCAATAAATCCTTTTGGAGTTTTGGAAGTTTGGCTCGAGACTCATGATTTAATTGGGGGCAACTGCCGGAATCCCAACTCTGTCATTAAAAACATTAAAGAGTTGGACACTGCAATTCTCACTTTTACGTAGAGTGGGTGGGAGAAAGATCCACAAGAACTATAGCTCTGGATTACCACCAATGCAGGTAGTCCTCGACTTATGACCGCAACGGAGCTCCAAATTTCTGTTGCTAGGTGAGACCGTTAATTTTGCCCTATTTCAGGGCCTTTCTCGCCATAATTGCTAAGTGAATCACTGTGGTTGCTACGTTAGCCACATGCTTGTGAAGCAAATCTGCCTTCCCCATTGACTTTGCTTGTCTGAGGGTCACAAAAGGGGACATCCCAGGACCCTGCAAACTGTCATAAGTACATGCCAGTTTCCAAGCATCCAAATTTTGATCGCATGATCATGGGGATGCCGCAATGGTTGTTACGTATGAAAACAGGGCACAAGTCCCTCTTTTCAGTGTTGTTGTAACTTCAAACGGCCTTTGGACGAACTGTTGTAAGTCAAGGACTACCTGTAATGGCCTTTTAGGGTTTTTTTTTAAAAAAATAATAAAACAGGCGCCCTTCTCCAATTAGCTGAGAGGGGTTTGACATTCACCATACAACTGCCAAATCCGGACTTTGTCTTCATACGGCAAATCATATTTCAGGGGGTCACCGACCGGCCCCTGGTAGTACGGCCTCATGATTGATTCGGTGGCAGAGATGTGGGTTAAGCCGATGGCGTGGCCAAATTCGTGGACTGCCACAGCAAACAGATCCATTCCGTCGGTATCTGAAATTAAGAGGGAAGAGCCATGTAGACCAATGCATAAATAAGGAGCTTCTATCTTTCCCTTATGTTCTTGTCTATCCATCCATCCATCTATCTCTATCTGTCTGTCTATCTATCCTAAAATCCTACTCCTCCTTGAGCAGACAGTTCCTCAACCTCTATCTATCTATCTATCTATCTATCTATCTATCTATCTATCTATCT